TCTATTAAAAGAAGAATTATGCTTCGACCTATTGCCTAAAATCTTGATTTGCTATATGTGCCAGATTCGCAATGGGATAACATAGAAAAGAAAAGAGATTATAGGTAGCATAGGCAATTATTTTGTTAAGTGCAAGTACTCACACAAACTTAAACTAGTATAGTTCCACCATCGACTTTCCATGCACAAGCATCATACACTAATACGTCTTGTAGTCGCTTGATTAGCATCAGCCCCCTATTTGCACTTCTCCTCTTTTCAAGTGCAAGGTATTACTTCACATACAAGAAAGTACACATTCTCATCTCCATCAGCAAAAGTTATCTACCAAACCAATTGTTAGTGCTTAAAATAGAATGTAACAAGAATTATACAGAGATGAACGTCCTAGGGTTCCTTTACATGCAAAGCATCCTTCCAAGGTTATATTATTCCATTAACTAGTTAAAAATTCAAAATTTTGGTGCAATTTGAGTACCACGGCTAGTTATTGGCAAGAATTTCTAAACATAAATCACAAAAAATAGCCAAACAATCACTTTCTTATAAAAATAATAAGTGATCCAAGCAGACAAATAAGAATGTGATTTCCAACCAATTGTGAAAGAGATATTGGCAATTGGTTTGCAGGTACTAATGATCAATGGATCATTTCAGATTTAGCAGGATGCAATCATGGAAGTAACAGCATGCTTTTTCGTAAACTATAATTATTATAACCAAACATTAAGTTCCAATCAGAGATTACATCCAATTCAGGGAAAGTGAGCAACAACATACTAATAGGCCAAAGTTGAAGACGAGTTTGGTTTTGTTTGCCTTCACCTATATTTAACATGCCCCAAATACCCAGATTCATGCATCCTTCAACTGCATGCATACTGTCAATGTCTATCACCATGTGTGCCTTGGATACCATGCATGCCATTCAACCATGCGAATTCAAATAACTGAAATAATTACATCAATTATATTATCTCCTGTATTAATGTGTGTGAATTAGCTCGTGGAAGAAAAAACTAAGTTTCACGAAATGCATGCTCTGTGGTTTCCATGATCTAGCATAAAAAACCGACACTCTCAAGAAAAATAATATAGAAAATCCAACTAAATCAAGAAATTCAAATGTTCCCACGAACTAAAAGGCATAGTTTGGTGTTTCTATTAACCACTTCAACGTCGTACTCTTTGAACCAACAAAAGTTCACATATTTTTAGTTCTTCAAGCTGACAAGCTCCTATGATCAACCAACAGACGGACACATCTCATCAAATCCCAAAACCATACAATGCTATGTAGTACAGTACAAAATGCTCTATTAAAGCTCAAACCCCAACATTCATTCAGTCAAACCATCCGATTCATCATCAGAATTCGGCACTTCATAACGTATATTACATACAGCTATGTCAAAATTCAAGAATCCCACTTGAACAATTCCAACAAATGATAACAGCAAACAAGAATATAATACAGAAAAGTGAAATTTGTCGGGAAGAAAGAGAATCGAGATTGAAATTACAGTAACGAACTATTCATTAACGTACCAGAAATGATAGAGCCAACTAGGGCTTTCTTCCGTTCGGTTGGGGGAAAGAGGGTCGACTATTGGATTTTAAGATGCCTTTTCCAATGGGCCTTAGTGTTGTTTTATATTCTAATGGGCCATGGGACTGTTTAATTTGTCCAATGGGCCTTGGTGTTTGTTATGTTATATTGTTATATAGATTATAGATACAAGAAACCTAGTACATGACTTATGGGTCTTTGGGGCCGTTTACCTAAACACTTACCCGGTAAACATTTATCAGTAAAATTTAACATTATCGTTTACTTACCAGATAAGATTTTATTCATTAAAACGCATCGTATTCAACAATTTATCCCGGTAAGTGCTAACCATGGTAAGAGTCATCATCCTCACTTACCGGGTAAGACTCTCGATTCTTACCTTCAGACTTACCGGGTAAGATTTTTAGTCCTTGTCATATTCATCCGGTAAAGTAAAGTCAATTGGTAAACGCTTATCCAGGTAAGCGTTTGGTAAACGGCACCTTTGTTTTTCGATTTAACGGGTATAATAGGTGGTCAGCTTAATTGGTTAAATTATATTACGATGGTTGATTTTAGTTTAATATTAAGAGATTGATTTAACATGTTAACTTAGCTTATTCTATGTTAATGTATTAAGTTAGATTTTTTTTTTCCAAAATTACCCTTGTCCTGTTATTTTTAATCAACGTCTCATTGAAAAAATAGTTTACCAACATGCATAAATTAAAAACTGTAATCAAACAATATATTTTACTGATTTAAATATATTTTAGTTGTTAAGTATTGTGTTATGAACTCGTTATTGTTTCTGTTATTTTTAATAATTCATATGATTTTAATTTTTGTCTTTTAAAATATATATTACGTATTTTATTTTATATAAGTTTAAAATGGTAATTTTTTATTATTCATACTATTTATTCAGAAAAAGGTAAACAACGATTTATCTTAATTTATTCATATAGATTAATAATCAGAGACAACTTAATAGATTCAGAACTTAATGCATAAATAATAAACTAGCCCCTTAGTTGGTGTCTGATAGGTTAGGTGGTGAACAGATCATATTTGGTAAAAACTTGTTGATAAACTAGACGAAAAATGACCAAAAAATTAAAAAAATTAGTCAATTCCAATCTTTCATAATATAATTAAAAAAATCATAATAATATAATAAATATGTTAATTAAAATAATTTTAAATTGATTATAACTATGTGTGTGTTTATATGTATGGATGTATGTATGTATAATATATTATAAATTTTGGATTTGTTAAAATAACTTTTAGAAAAAATCTATATTAATTTATAGTTTTAAATAATCATTACATATTTATAAATAAAAATAAATTTGGTCAATCTCACATGTTTAAAATAATTAATAATTTTTTAATAAAATATTTTAAAAAATATAATTAATAATTAAATTAAATATTTTATTAAAATCATTTAGCACGAATTCTTATCTATAAAAAAAATAAGTATAACTATGATTTTTATTTGACTTACATAAACATTTTTAAAATTATTATATTTTTTTTTTAATAACTAAATATACAATTAATATTTGTCACCCTTATAATTGAAAAAATTGACAAAAAAAAGATCCCAAAACACTAGCTTATAAGCTAATATTAATTACTCCAATGATTGTTTCAATTGGTTCTCGATTGTACTGTTTATATTTTTAGATTTTCCAATCTAGTTTCATTTTAATACACACCCTAGTTGACTATTTCAACAAACCATTGATGAGCTACAATCACTTCAAAACACTATGTAATTTTATCTGTTATTAACTCTCTAATTTTACTAAATGCATTATGTGTAAGTTGAAAATTATTTCATACGTTGTGTGATACAAACCGAGCACCTATAGATGCATAATGGTTCTCATGTCTATCTATAAGTGCTAATTATCATTTAGCTATTCATACAAAGGCTATCATCAAAATGAAATCAAAACAGGGTTGCCTAGGTTGTATGCGACCTCCGAAGGTCGCTTTCGATTTGGTATAGAGTAAGGCCAGCTGTCGTGCAAGCTCAAGCCCCATCACATGCCTTGCATCCAATGGCCACTGATTGTGGTCATTTTGAGTGCGAGTTCCCCCACCTTGCATCCCTTAGTCCCACATGCAACCTCAATGGCAAGACGATCCCTTAGTCCCGCATGCAACCTCAATGGCGAGACAACGAGCTTGCACTCAAGTTCATGTCAAGCGTTTGTGGCAGCTAATTGAGCACAATCTATGGTTTGCTCGTGGATTTACCATCCACTCTTACCTAAACGATCTATAATTCAAGTAACTAATACCATAACATTATTCCACAATATAATAACAACAAACCAACCCCCTGAATTGTTCAAAGCCCACATTATCTAATATCGAAATTGGTCAAAGTCCGTCTCTCAAATCCCGAGTCAACACTTTTCTTTTATTCTACTTATAGATTTGATCCTGTCATTCTGAATCAAGGTGCTAGACTTTTGAGAGATTGATAGCTTCAATTTGTAACTGAACTATTAGTCAGTTAAATGTTTGGTCGTTGAATATTTTTAGTATCCATTTAATAAAAAATAGATAAACGAGTGAACGTTTATTTATTTTGTATATCATTATCCCAAAAACAAAGGGTACATACCTTCCATCGTCAAAATCGCTCCATTATCTATACTATATTATAAAGTATTTGACAAAAATTCTTAAAAATCATTTTTTATACATGAAGTACTGTTTATTGATGCATATTACTTAAAATTTAAGATTACAAGTAAATTGTGCATAAATACAACTTATTAAAGATTCATGTTTGAATTCGTGTAACTAACTATGAATAAACATAATCAAATAGAGGATAAACATCTTATTTTAAATATAAATAATCTAAAATACAATTAAAATAATAATTGAGTTCTAACAAAATACTTAATTATTGTCTTTATGAAAATTTATTTTATTATACCAAAAATAAAAAAAATTAGTTAAAGAAAATATACGTAAAAAAGATAAATTTTAAATAGTTAATTTGGTATTAATATCAATATTTTTTATATTTTTTATAATATATATATATATATATATAATTCAAAAATAAAACTATTATCGTTTTTTCAAAACCACATAACATCAATAACATAAAAAAAAAATTTAAAAATATATTAAATTGAAATGTATCTCGTTATATTGTACAAGTACCTTTCTAATAAAATAATAATATATTTAACTATCATCCTAAACGACTAATAATACACTTTGAGACAAAATAATTTCCAAATAAAAAATTGTACAAATAAAACCGGCTTTCTAGCCATTTTATTATCGTCAAGTATAATTTAAAAATAGAGGTTGAATAATAATAAAATATAATTCCTACACATACACATATATTTTCATTATCATTGTTATTTTATTTTATTTTTGTTAATATAATTTTTTCTTTTTGCAAAAAAACTGTATACAAATTTCAAACAAAAATAAAGAAAAAAGAAAACACTCGATCTGAACCGTCAAAACTGATCTAGTACATTTCACTCGCTACAATCTTGCTACACTGGATAATCTAGTCCCAGTTCCATCCTGTAAATTGCCTCGCCGGAGTTATCAGAAGCTCCGGTTAGTTTTTGAACGTTTTGGGGACTCCGACTCCGACTCCGGGAACGACGAACAGGCTCGTAACCAAGCGTTAACTCCAGTCCAATCTCATCATTATTGTCCTGAATCGTAGCCGACTCATCCCTCTCGATTTTAACGGGAGCCGCGGCGGAGCCCTCAGCCGTCTCTACCGACACCAAGCTTTCCTCCGCCGTCTCGTGGCTCTCACCTTCCGCCACATGCGCCGCCTCAGATTGGTGGCTCAGTGTAGACTCATGACTGGACGACCTGTTGTTAATCTCGTCATGACCCGATACTTCCTCGCATGATCCGACCCAAACCCGGTTATCTTTTGCTTTTCCTTTCGATGCCGATCTCTTGAAACGACACCGTGTCCTGATCCGGTGAAGCTCGTTAGACCCACCGGAGTTCTCATCCTTCGATATGTGGCGGATATCGTACGCCTTCAAAGGCGGTCCGTTATTCGTCTCCTCCGTGTCGGAAGCCACCTGAACGATCGGAGACCCATTTAACACCGCTTCCACCGCATTCTGACAAAGCTGCCACCTTCCCGACCATAACAACCCGACAGACCCGTAAATCGGGTTCACAATCCGACCACAAGCCTCGTACAAAAGCGACCGGAATATTCCTGTAAAACAAAACCCATCAATCTCCATACTCACCGGAATACATCCAAATTCACAAAACCAAAAAGAAATCAAAAAATTAACTCACCAGGACGAAGGTTTTCAGGACCGGCGTTGATAAGGTTCATAAGTCCGGCACGGCCATAGAACTTAGCTAAAAAGACAGTAGCGTTTGCTTGTGATTCCGGCGACTTAATCCACTGCAAACAAGGTCTTATACTACAGTCATCACTACATCCCTTTCGCAGGACCCGACAGCCATTACAGCTCATTCTCATTGTTGCAGGTTTTAGAGAAAGAAAGATATGAAGAAAAGGGTTTGAAAGATATACGGTGGAGGGTGGCGGTGGTGGGTGTATATATATATATATAGGGTGGCCGCTGGATTTTCGGGAGGGCGCAGTTGTTTGGAAAGGAACTGGTATTATATGCGTTTTTGAAAACCAGGTTTTCCACATTCATGGAACTAAAACATCATGTATTGCAGTTGAATGATTCTTTTTTAATTTTTAAATTCAAAATATTGTTCGTACATCCCACTTGGGTTAAATCACAAATCCTCCTCCACTTTCAATGGAGGCGCGTGAGATTCACCTCCTACCTGACACATCACGGTTTCTGTTCGCAGCGGCTTCTGTAATTTGTAATTAAATGAATTACACTGGTGGTCCATGTGGTTTTGCTCAAATTTTGATTTGGTACCTAAAATAAATTATCTACACTTGATCCCTAATTTTTCATTTTCATAGTACTCATAGTCTTTCAACTTAACAATGTTAGTTAATAACCATTATGAAGGACTCATTGGTCTTTAAACAAACTTTAGGGACCATAAATACAATCTGCTCTAATATACTGTAATGTAATTCAGCGGTTGTTTGGTAGTTTCTTAATGGTGACATTAAGAGGGAACATCTTAATCGGTAAGAGACTGGGGTTGTTTGGCATACAAAATTTAGCCTTTTAATGGTGACAATTATCTCTTAACGATTTTGTAGTTTCCTCCCACTTCACTTTCACGCCTCCTATCACATTCCTCCCACGTCGATGATCCTTTCTCTCTATCTCTCCGCCGAGTTCCGCCGAGTTATCGCCTCCTCCCGACGATCCTCTCTCTCTATCTCTCCGTCGAGCTATCTCTCACAGGTTTCATATGGACCCATTTTCTTGCTACCGTTTTTGCTACTGGTTTAGCTACTGTTTAGTCTGGTTCTTGTTACTGTTTTTGCTATCATTTTTGCTACTGTTTAGTGTGGTTCTTGCTGCTGTTTTTCCTACTTTCTTGCTACTGGTTTTACTTCATTAATGGTTCTTGCTACTGGTTCTTGCTGCTGTTTTTCCTACTGTTCTTGCTATTGGTTTTACCTACTGGTTTTACTTNTTGCTACTGGTTCTTGCTGCTGTTTTTCCTACTGTTCTTGCTATTGGTTTTACCTACTGGTTTTACTTCATTAATGGTTCTTGCTACTGGTTCTTACTTCATTAATTGATGTTGAGAGTAGTATTGAATTTTTGTAGTTAACGCTAAAATTTGGCCATTTTGAAGGGGAATGAGGATCAAACACGTATTTGTGTGGAAAAAAAGTCAAAAAGCTTGGTGTCCCTTTTTTGCCTTTCTATTTTTTTATTAGTTTCATTTTATCTTTTTTTTAAACTCAATTCGAATTTGAGACATATAAGAAGGATTACATGATTTGGGTATCGATGAAAATTAAAGTTTATGGTAAGAAAAATAAGAAGAGATGTTCATTAGTAATAGATTTTATAAAATGGTATGCTTATGTTTCTTTGGGCGTTTCTTTATGCTAGTTCATTTACAAGAAAGATAAGAAGAAATGTTCATTAATAAATCAATTTATTGTTTTGAACTAATAATGTTACGTTTGTTTGGATTAATAATTGTTCTATTCAGATATCTGCCAAACATCTCTATTTCATTCAGTACTAAATCATTCAGAGGGTTAAAATGGTAATTTGTTGTCATTCAGAGAACAGTTACCAAATAACATTATTTCATTTAGCATTTAACCATTATGACCCTTTTAATCATTCTGACCACTTAACCATTTTACACCAAATCATTCAGCAATTGCCAAACAGCCCCTTACATTTAAAAAAAAATCTTATTCAAAAAGTATTTTATATATCCCAATGGAGGATTTTCTGTTCATAGAATATTGAAGAAGAAAACTAGGTCTAAGTAAGGTATACGAAGGAAAGCCTATTTTACGAATCAATGATGGGATCTCTTTGGCACCTAATTGGGCACCTAAATCCCACCAATTTCGGGATGAATTGGTGTGGTTCATCTACGCTTAGGACATCAGAATAGCCTTTCATGCGGGTTGGAACTTACCCGACAAGGAATTTCGGTTCACAAATCAAAAAAGATCAGCATTAAAAAATTTCAAGTTTAGAAAAAACAAAATTCACATATCTTTTGAGTTGAGAATTGAAATATACGAGCAAAAGATATTGAAAATTAAGGGACCGTTTACCAAACACTTACCTGGTAAGTGCTTATCGGTAAAATTTAACACTATTGTTTACGTATCGGGTAAGATTTTAGTCTACTAAAACGACATCATATGCAACAACTTACCCGATAAGCGCTTACCATGGTAAGAGGCGTCGCCCTCACTTACCGGGTAAGATTCATGGTCCTTGTCTCGCTCTTACCTGATAAGATTTTTGGTCCTTACCATATTCATCCGGTGAGGTAACATGACTTGGTAAGTACTTACTCAGGTAAGTGTTTGGTAAACGGCCCCTAAATTTGAAATTAACTGAGATTATTAATATATAATCAAACTACAAATAAGTACAATAACAACAAAATAGAAATTATAAATTAAGAATAGAAAAGCACTAATTATTCAAACAATTAAGAAAAATTATCACTACAACCAAAGTAAGTTTATATGATGCCAAAAAAAATAAGCGTCCTAATAGACCACTATATAAGACTTAATTTATAAAACCATAAATAATTCTTACTATCTAAATACACTGCAATAAGTTTATTGGACGCTTTTAAATATTGACAATTTTATATAACACTATTTAAAAATGTTTTCTATAACAACAAACGTCTTATAAAAAGTTCATAGGTTTTTAGGACGCTTAATTTTTTTGGCATCATATAAACCTAATTTTGTTGTAGTTATAATTTTTCTTAATTGTTTGAATAATTAGTATTTTTTTTAATCTTAATTTATAATTGGAAAATTAATTAAATAGTCATTTTTACCGGTTGATTCCATTTCTTTACACGATTTATCAAAATAGCCTTTGGTCCGCAATTTTATTTTATTTTTTGGACCTGGATGAAAAATGTAATTTTTTTTTGCGGGCACGGGTGAAAAATGTAAATTTTTATGCGGACAGGAGTAGAAAGTATAAAAAATTGTCGTTCAGTTGGGTCCGCAATTGCGGACGTAGGTTTTGCGGACATATGGCTATTTTGGTAAACTTGGATAGAAAATGACTAAAAGGTGAAACCAGTCCTGAAAAATGACTATTTTAATAATTTTTTCGTTATAATTTCTATTTTGTTGTTATTGTAATTATTTATAGTTAGGGGCTGTTTGTTTGGCTCTTAATGGTTACATTAAGAGCCAACCTCTTAATCGATAAGAGGTCAAGGTTGTTTGGCAAAAAAAAAGCTCTTAATGGTTACACTATCTCTCTTAACCATTTTGCATCCAAGGGTTCACTAAACCATTCAGACTTCTATTTTTCCAAGTTTGCCATCTCTACTCGTTCCTCACACAATCGCTGTCTTCAAATCGCTCCCTCCCCCACACACGATCGCCGGTCAAATTGCTCCCCCCACACACGATCGTCGGTGTTCTTCTTCCAGCAGGTCACACGGTCACCGTCTCACGTCGCGTTCTTCCAACCATCGTCGGTCGCCTTCTTCCACAGCCATCGTCGGTCACCTCCACAGCTTCGCCGGTTTGCTCCTCCGGTCGCTGGCCCTACTGCTTCCTATACCTTCCTTTTCCAGGTATTTCATCGCCTCCCCTACTACTTCCCTCTACCAGATTAATTAGGGCTATTTGTTAATTAGGGCTGTTTGTAGGATGCGTTTTAAATGGGTATATGCATAGGTCTGTTTGTTGATAAATGGGTATATGCATCATGATTTTGCTGTATATACATCATGATTTTGTTACATCCTAACATGGTAAGCTTGTTCATAACTTGGTTGTGAAATCATGATGATACATCCTAACATGGTAAGGTTGTTGATAAATGGGTATTTGCATCATGATTTTGCTGTATATGCATAACTTGGTTGTGAAATCGTGATGATACATCCTAACATGGTAAAATGGTAATATGTAGTTATATTTGTAAAATAATTGTTTTATTCAGATATCTGCCAAACAGCTCTATTTCATTCAGTACTAAACCATTCAGAGGGTTAAAATGGTAATTTATTGTCATTCAGAGAACAGTTACCAAACAACATTATTTCATTCAGCACTTAACCATTCTGGCCCTCTTAACCATTCTGATCTCTTAACTATTCTGCACTAAATCATTCAGCAACTGTCAAACAGCCCCTTAGACTATATATTAATACTCTCATGTTAACCGAACTTAATTTTCAATATCTTTATTCCCATATTTCAATTCCAAACTCAAAATATATGTGAATTTATATCGCTTTCTTTTGTTTTCTTAACTTGAGATTTTGTAATGTTAATTTTTTTTGTGAATTTTATAGTTTTTAAAATCAATATGAATATTTTTATTTAATATGTACTTTATTTAAGATATTTGATTTGTGAATGGATATATACAATATTTTTCTAATAATTAAAAAAAAAAGAAGGTGAACTACATTATATATTAGAGTGGATTGCATTTTTGGTCCCTAAAGTTTGTTTAAAGACCAATGAGTCTTTTATAATGGTCGCTAACTAACATTGTAAAGTGGAGGGAGCATGTGCATTATGAAAATGAAAATTGGGAACCACTAGTATAAGTAGTCTATTTTAGGGACCAAATTCAAATTTTAAGCAAACCACAAGGACCACCGGTATGATTCACTCTTTGTAATTTATAATTTGTAATTCCTTTGGCCTTTACCCCCATACAAGAGTCGCCTTCTCTAAATTACTTATTTATTCAAGTAAACTACACGCTTGTTTGTCCCATGTTTGGTTTAGTGAAAATTTGAAATTATTTTCATATATATATATATATATATATATTAGAAGGATACTCGTGTAATGTATCAAGATATATTTTCATTTTAATGTTTGGCTTTATATTTTATTCATGTCGATATAATACGATTTTATATGGTTTTGAGAAAACGATAATGTTTTATTTTTGGATAAAATATAAATTTGAAAATA